GTCTCTGCTCCTCTCCTTCGTTCTGGCGCCTGTCCACGCTGCGTATACGTAATGGATGTGTAAGAACATTTTAGTCGAAATTCGCTCACACACCACGCCTTGACAATTTCCTTTCTCGATTTTCCCCAACGAATTCGCAACAATTTTTCAATGCCATCGCAAGTATCTGTGTGTGAGAGCGAGTACTTGTGCCATTTGAAAGTATTATTTGTTGCTTCTGACCATACTCACTCACTCTTCATGGCGCACAAAAGTGATTTAGTATTCCTCTGCCCCTCTAGCCGTGTTTTTGTGTGTGGCTCTTCTGTCGATAAAAGCAATCAAAGCTTGATTTATTGTCCTCACCAGTTTCCGACAGCCCGCGGGGTCTACAATTTGCCCCCAAAAATTGATCCACAATGGCCAAGAGGGCTGTGTGGGAAAAGGAAAACCCAATGAATGAATAAATAAATGCATGGGCAAGAAATTTTCAAGATCTTGGGATGGGTTTTTATATGATAGTGTTTGTGTAACATTTACAAGAGTTTCTGACAAGCAAAAGATGTAAGGAATTTATGGAAAAGAAATTAAATGCAAGGTTTTCATTTAATTCAAACTATTGTCCATAGATTTCCAATCAATACTAATTTAATTTATGTTCTTTAACATTTTTAAAGAATCTACAAAAATACTTTAATACTATAAATTCTTGTAACAATTGAAGAGCCTTGTAAAGAATTTATTTATATTTATTAAAAGCTTATTCCTGAAAACTAAATAGCTACCAATCTTCACTCTATGAAAACCATTATCCTATTGTATTTTTCCAGAATTCTTTAGTTCGAATTTTTCATTGGAAAATCCGTATCCAGTTAGTAAATTTTCTGGTTAAAATCCTTTTCTTTTTTCCCCCTTTAGAGTCGCTAAAAACCGGGACTGCAAAATATTTGATTTCCTCTTGAAAATACCAACATTTCTCCGGATTCCTTTTTTTTGCACTCGGATTTTTCCCGTTTTCATTGTTGGGTTTTCCTGTGGCTGCCTGAGTTATTTCCTCGTTTACAGTTAAGCGGTCACAAACACACACTCGCGCACACACACCCACACACACCACACACACCCACACCACCATTTATCCATCGACATGCAATAATTGCCCCCGCCAAATGCCGACGGTCAACAAAAAAAAAAAAAAAACAACAAGAATCACACTCGACAAAGCCTTATTGATTTTTGACTTGAATGCGGTTTATAAATTGTGGCCTATACTCTTGGTTCAGGGATCATAATTTTTAATACAAAACCGACTAAATAAAAGGAGAAAAATATATTTATATTTAATAATATTAGTAGGAATAAAGAGAGTTTTAGAAGATGTGAAATAGAAAAGATTTGCTGCTTCTAAATTAACTAATGATTTTGAAGGCATTTATACCTTAAGAAACTATTAAATCAAAAGTAAATTTATATATTTAATATAACTAAAAATATAAATTTGAATAAGTCACCAATTTGATTTCAAATTGTTAGTATTATCAGTCAAAATAAAACTTATTAACGTTTTGTATCATTTCCACAATTACTTGGTTTGTTATAAGCATACTGTCTATACATACTATATATATTATTTATATACTATATTATATATTTCTTATTTTAAAAATTTTCCACAAAGAGCATCAAATCTTCAGCTTGACAAATACAGCAAATCCTTTTCGTTTGTTCATTGTTAGAGCCAATCACAATGGCGTTGAGAGGGGTGACAGGATCACAGCAGAGCCGGCGACTGCATTCAAAGCCTTCAAGCCCAGGACATTTACACAAATCCACATTTAGATGCATCCTGTTTGTGTATGTGTGTGTTTGTGTGTATCCGTGTTAGCCGCTTTAAATGGCCTGGAAAATCATTCAGAGTCCCAGACAAAATTTAGTTAGAGTTTGCCGCCGCCAAGTCCTGGCCAACTTTCGCTTGGGAACTCGAGAGGGCAAAACTGCTTAAAAGGCATATTAACAATCGACACGCAGATCGAGGGGTTAAAGGGAATAATGTGAGGTGTTAAGGCAAAGTTGAAATGCACAATTTACTGGAGGCTGGAAATGGAAATGGAATTGGGCAGAAACAGAAGCCGGATTAAGAACAGGAGGGGGGTTTCGGGTAATGGGTGGTGCTACCAACAAAAGACGGCTAACAAGCAAAGGGGCCAACAAAAATGATAAAGTAAAACAAAATGAGAAAACACTTGACGGCGATGGCAAGAAAATAAGAGAGTTAAAAAGTTAACTTAAGTTTCGCTTATTTATTTTAGTAGTGTGCCAACTTCGAAATACTCTTTGGGAATTCAATTAGCATTTCATTTGAATTATAACTTCTTGTCACCCAATTAATACTGACTCTTGTTATATATTTTTCCTCAGGGACATTTAGCATGTATTGTTTACCGGAAATTATAGATTATTCATTGCATTTCCTGATTTGCTTAATCAATTGATTAATTGTCCTTAAGGCAAGCCTTTAGGTGGGATTAATATGAAATGAATAATAAATTAAATATTTCAATTAGTTTCATTTAACTGTATAGCATATTTTAAATATTTATTAACTAAATAATGCCAGAATAACATATGTTACTCATAAATTATGCATACTATTTTCTAATTGATTTTTAAATAGGCGCTCATTTGGGGCTAAGGGTAAAATATATAGCAACAGTTTAATGATTTTTAAATTATTCATCACTCTAATTGCAGTTTAATAGCTTACAGATTAATATTCTTTTATTTTATTTATTTGTAAGTTATAAATATGTACATAATTTTTTAGGTAGAACAAGATATCCTTTTCTGTAGTACGTTCACTATTAAAACTCCAATACAAAGTATAAATAAATAAGACTTTTTACAAAGAAAATAAATAAAAAATATTTATAACTCTTCCTTTAATTTTTTTTTCTTAAAAACCATTCCATCTTTATGCTACCTTCTCTGAAAGAGTATAAACAAATTCCAAAGTAAAAAAGGTACTACCACTATCTCACTTTGGAGTCCGTTGCAGGCGCCATCCTTCAACCCAAATGTCTGTGAAAAATACGAGTTTTTCTTGTATTTGTGTGCGGGCAGAGTGTTTCTGTCTGTTTGTGTTAATGACAAGTGTTTTCATGTTGTATATTTTCCTCCTAAGTTTTTCTTCGTTTTTTCTTTTTTTATATACCCTTCCAGGGTATTATAATTTCAGTCAAAAGCTTGTAACGCAGTGAAGGAGTCATAAATCCTATATATTCTTGATCAGCATAAACTGGCGAATCGATCTAGCTATGTTCGGGTAAAATTTAATTTTTACACCACTAAAATTTTTTTAAAAATTGAAAAAACAATTTAATTTTTGTTATATATTATATTAGGTATGCAGATTTATTAACCTTAGAAAAACTAACATAGTACAGCTTTCCGAAATAAAACTAATGCTTTTTTGGCTTAGTTATGAGATTTTGAAACTTTAAATTTGTGGAAAAAGTTGTCATATAAAAACATCGATAATTATTGATTCAAAGAAAAATTCCCTATTTGTTACTCTAGTTAAATTGCATACTGCAAGGGCATATCTACTTCGACTTCCCTTAGCTAGCTTCCTTTCTTATTTTTCGTATGCGTCGCGTAATGACAAGGAGGATGTCGATGAGTATAATGACAACATCAATGCTGATGATGATGATGGGAATGGGTCCTGTGAGAAGGATGTGAATGTGGGTGTGAAGCCAGTAGAAGCTTAAAGTGCTTGTTAGGCGCTTTTTTGTTGTCGCCATTTCTTTCACCTCATGGAGCCAGTAAAAGGGTATGTGTTATTTGGTAAGATTACAAGGAAAAAGAGAGTATTTGCAAGGAGAACAATTGGCTAATAATGATGCAAAAAAATAATGTAATGATTACTTAAGGGTTGTAGATAAAGAAAGTATGTTTAAACTTAGGAAACATGAAAGAATAAATATTGTAGTTCTGGTTTATTTAAATTCTTTAGTGGAAATTAAGTGTATAATTGTATTCTGCAGAAATATTGAAATTTAGTTTAAAATTCAATTAAAGATTTGAGCCCATTAAATATATTTTCAATGAGTAAAGTTATGTATACTAGAAATATAAAGTTTTCTCCTTGAAATAAGCATCTTATTTCCCTAAAGTTCCTTCCCGGGTATCTCATAGTCTGCTTTTCGTTTGTGTCACTAATTTTAGTTCCATTTTGCTGCCCCATTGATGACAATGACAATGACAATGACGATGACTATACCCAAGATGATGATGATGATGATGATGAAGGCAATGATGCTGATGATGTCGATGGGGCTGTCAATGCGGAATTGAGCTGCGACATAAACACGTTGTCAAATCGAACGCGTGAGTGCTCACGTGCCCGCCAAGCAGAACGACATTTGGGAGTTGGGGGATGTACAAAAAAAATGGATAAATGGGCAGGCAGTTCAGTCGAGGTTAGCACGTGCTCCTGCTGCTCCTGGTGTTCCTGGTACTTCTGCTTCCTTCAGGTCCTTTTGTCAATAGATTGGCACACAATCCACTTCCTGGTTGCGCCAACCTGCCTGATGAAAATCTGCCATTAATGTGATTTATGACAGATTTCTGCTCTTCCACTTGTAATTTATATTTATTATCCACCGTATTTTGCCTATTTTCTTAGTGTTCTAGGCCTCTAGAAGGTCCTGCGATGAATTCGCAGCTGTCACAGAGCCAAGACAAGTTGATCCCTTGGGTGATTTTCCTAGCAGATTTTTCTGTTATTCCCCAAAAGGGCGCGACTTTTGTTTTATCACACTTTTTTGGGATAAGTAATAGATATTTTTCACTTGATGAAATGATATATATGAAGAATTGAAGTAAGATTGAATATGTGCAGGAATAATAGGAAGTACGCAGTACTTATTGATTTTAGAGACATTTCCTTATTAAATTTTACAAGAATATGAACTTTATTTAATACAGTTTCTTGGTAAATTATAATAATAATCACTTAGAACCTAAAAGTGTTCATATTCACTTAGCTTAAGCATTAGCACACGCAATTTCCTGGACTCCAGGCCAATGGTAAGTGGCTCCTCTGGCACCTGTTCGGTGGCAGTAAAAATATTTGCCGGCGTAAAGAGCCCGTAGGCTTCGCAATATCGCAGAAAGTTGAGAACCTCCTGAACAGTGGCATATGGCAGGATTATATTCTGCTTGGCCATGCCGGTGAGTAGCCCCAGGATGCAACGTTTCACATGCAACCAGGTATCCGCATACAACCTGTTCCCCGAGCCACCCTCGAGGGCATGGGCGATGCGGGACAAGCCGAACTCGTAGTTGGACTTGGCACAGTAGAGAGTGCCCACCACCAGATTTACTATGCACAGGTGATGATACTGCTTGCCCAGGTTGCCCTTCAGCTCCTCGGCCTTTTCCACTTTGCGCATCAGCTCCTCGGCCTCCTCGTTCTGGAATGTCATGATGTAGGATACGCACAGGTTGGCCAATACCGCAGCCGATACGGACATGATCTGGGGTTTTTGGGGAAAATGGTCAAAAGGTTTGCGGGAATTATAATTGGAAGCAACTGAGAGGGGTATTAGAGAGTTTTATGGACTATGGAGTACCTGGTATTTGATTTCCACTGTAGAGAAATTAAATATTACCATTGATTTGCTATTCAAATTTCAATTTTAACTTGATTTTGGAAAACTGGAATGTTGTTTTTTATACATTCTGAGGGAACAAGTATCTGAAGTTATTTTAAGCTTCTTAATTGGTTATTTAACTACTTTAAATTCCCAATCAATCAAATTCATATAGCCAGTCCTGACTTTATCTACTTAGAAGTCCTTTAACCTTTTCCTTTTTCTGAGACAATTACTCCCAAATCCTTGAACTCATCAAAAACCTAAGGTATTCCTATTGGAAATATCTGTGTGAATATTCTGTGTAGGTTTTTATCTTACATCGTCCGAATGCTGGCGAACAATGGGCTCATAAAAGGCCGCTGCCTCATTGTATTTGTCGCCCTGCATGAAGAGGACATGTCCTGCATTTAGTCGCCAAATGGAGTTTTCCGAACAGAATTCGGCACTCGAATGGAACTCCCTTTCGGCACCCACAAAGTCGTCATCACGCCAGGAGATCCAAGCTCGAGCCATCACCATAGGCAAATAGCTTTAAAGAGAAAGAGTTGTGAAATCAAAACTAAAAAGTTGTTCTGGTAAAAAACTCACAGTTCCAATGCCTGTTCATAGTCCTTGAGGGCATCCCTGAGTGCCTGCTGTTCATTGGTGGCTCTCACCTCCTGGACTTTGGCGGCCAAGCTGCGCAACTTGCCGGCCAAACTGGAGGCCAAGGTGCCCAGCTTCTTCTCGGCCAACTCGGCGCTAGTTTGTGCCGTAATAAGAGCATCCAGAAGTTCATACAAATATTGCGACAAGTACTTGTAAGTGAGATCTGTATGCTCTGCTAGGATATCAGCTGCAGTCTCGTACAATTCATGACGGCAGCAAATCAGCAGGATATTAGCAAAAGTCTCCTTGGGACAAGAGGGAGCACCTAGCTGTAGAAGGAAAGCCAACTTCCTTAAACCCGCCACCGGACCCTGAACATCAGTTAAAGCCATATTATGCAATGTGACCGGATCCAATTCACTTTCAGCTCGCGGAGGAAGATCCAAGAGTGCATCCCTCGCAGCCTCCTCATTGCCATCCTGAAACTCGATGGCTGCTTTAAGATTCAATGCCTGAGTAATGCCCGAAACGGCCATGGTGATGGGATTGCCCACACTCCGGGCACTGCCATCGGTGTCCACTTGGGCGCCAATGCCCAGCTCTGGATGATTTCTCATTCCCCGCTCCACAATCTCTGAGGTATAGTCCAATGCCTGGGCACGCTGCTTCCGCTGGAAATGGGCCAGGGCCACATTGTAGGCCACCAGGGGATTGAATCCCCCGACTTGGAGAGCGGCCTGGAACCGCTGCACTGCAGCCTCATGCTGGTCCGCCTGGAACAGTAGGCAACCCTCATCGTTAAGGGTATCCGCTGTGCCGCCAGCTCGCTGATTGAGCAGACTCTGAGCACCAGCAAAGTCCTCGCTGGAGTAGAGAATTGCACTCTGCAACTGCAGGCACTGCTCCCGCAGCTCATCCTCCTGGTCACCAATTTGCTTTAGAACCCTCAAAGCTTCAGCAAAGATGCCAGCCTGATAGAGCGACTGAGCATAGTAGAATCTGTAAAGGATATTTTAAAGGATATATATATCAAGAATATTGAACTCACCTGTACTTGGCTTCCTTGGGAGCCAGCTGGCAGAGTTGCTCGTAGCAGGTGGCCGCCTCCTCGTACTTCTGGGCGTGGTAGTAACAATGTCCCAAAGTGGACAGACCGGCTCTTGTGTTGGCCGCCTCACCGAAACTGGTGATGCATTCGATTACATCCTCGTAGCGTTTGTCTTTGATCTGAGGAATTCCGTCCCTCCTTCATTATGTGTGTGTGTTTAATTTAAGATTATTTCAAGGCTTACCAGATTGTATATTGTCCTGGTTACATGTCCCTCACGCAGGATAATTCCCTGATGCAACATTTTCTCCACTCTCTTCGTAACTAAATGAAAAATTCCCTTCGAAAGGCTTTTGTGTTATGGTCTCTGTTGAGGGATTTCCATGGTGACCGCATTGTTTGTTGTGTGTCAAGTGTCCTGGCAACGTTAACCAGGATACGGCCAACAGTTGGTTGGTTGTGCAACCCCTAAAGGGTGGTGGGAAAGGTAGTGGTAATAGATAGATGGGGGTGGTTTTTGATAAGAATTTAAAAATTATACATATAATAATTATCCCATAAATATAGAAAACCATTTCACAAACTAATTACAATTCTCTCAGTTCGCTAGATTTACGATTACTTCAAGTGTAATATATTTAACCAGTCCATTGATTTAATGCCATTCTACAAAATCCATTTTATTTGGCCAAAAACTCTGTCATAGAAACCAATTAAGATAAAGGCAAAACGAGCTCAAAGTGGCGAAACAAATCTATTTGAAATGTAAATGAGAAAATTGCCTAATTGAAAACTTTTTGCATCTTGATGGGAAAACCGACAATTCCTGCTTCTGGCCAACTCGTTGACTTGCTGATGGGGCAAAGGACTTAAAGTGTTAACTGGAAGACTCGCAGCTTGCCCAAGGCATTAATTCGCGTTGGAGGCGAAGTTCAAGGAGCACTTTTAATTAGGTTTCCCCGGGAGCCCATCGTCTTACCCGACTGACTGACTGACTGACGAACGTGAACGTGCGGAAATGCTAATTAGGTTCTGTGTCTGTCCAAAAAGTTCAGCCAAATGGCTGCAATAGAGCCGCCTAAGCTCCAAATGGAGGCTAGAAGCTGTTGAGAAGTAGAACCGGGTCAAGGTTGCTGCCTGGCCGTCATCTGTCTGGCCAAAAGTGTGGCTGGCGGTCACCAAACGGGTTTTCTTCCCTCCCTCTCTCTGTGTTGCTTTCCAGCTCTTGGCAAAAAAAATGGTTCAAAACCGCGACCCTGAAAACTCTGAGCCAGCTGTGTCCCCGCTTCATGGTGAACTGGAAATCTTACACTCGACAAAGGCAGCAGCAAAATAACATTTGATGCGAAAGCTAAACGTTTTCCTCTCATGTCATCTCATCTCGCGCTGACTCGCATCTTTAGTTGGCAGCATCAAGTGCAACTGCATTTTCTTACAATGTCACACGCCAGGCAGGCATTAGTTTTTCTCGATCTCTCGGCCTAAGGCAAACCGCACTCGGCGGCAATGCGGCGTATGAGTAATGCAATTGATGCTGGCAATTATCAGATATCACACACAATCACAACACACAACACACATCATGCAGGCTCAAGGTGCCAACAGGCTGAAGTTCAAGTTTTGTTTTGCTGAATTATTGCAGGCCTAATTGCCCCAAGACTCTGGCCAGAATAAACTGAGAGGAAAGCATTTAGATAATGTCAGTTTTAAGATTTAAGTTTAAGTACAGAATTCTTTGGGTGCTCTTATTGTAAAAATTACTTAAAGGGTATCGCATCATCTCTTCTAAATTCTCTTAATATATATATGATATCATATAAATAAGAAAACCTTTCTCATAAATATTTAATACATTAGTACCAGATAACCTAAGAAACCTATGAGAACTTCAAAGACAATTACTGAACTACAAAATAATTATAGAAATTTATATAATACATATTATTAAGTAATACTGTCTATATACTTTCCAAGAGTATTTGTTTATTCGATTTCTTAAAATTATATCTTAATTTCTCTTATTTTTATTATCACATTCCCTTGTCCTGTGTCAAGCTCTCTCGAGACTTGTTTATGGCTGGCATTTTGCATTCGCTTGTCTCACATTAATCTCTTAATTTTTGCTGCTTTATTTTTTGTTTTTTGTGCTGCACTTGTTGGAGGGCAGTACTTGAGGGTTTTTTCAGGGTTGCCGGGTTCAACGAGAGCTTGGTTGATGTGGCCACAAATTAACACTTGCCTCGGTCCTAAAGTCTTGTTTCAGCTGCTGCACTTTGGAAGTGTGTGGGGATTTTTATTTATTTTTATGACCAGAAGGTGGAGTCGGGGGTTTTAGGAAAGTCAATGAGCCAGGGGTGGACTTGTGGCAAGAGTCTTTCAGAAATATATATAAGAAATATATAAGTATTGCTACTTTCGATTAACTATATTATAATTAACCTAGAACATGTTCTGTAATATTTTCTTAAGCAGAGAAATAAAGGAAATTTATGATATATAATAAATTCTGACTCATTACTACAAGCACATTTAAATTTATATTTCTTACCAGACATATAAATAAGTTCTCCACTTTTCTTAACTCATACGCATAAATTCTCTATTAATTTAATTTTTTCTTTACAATAATATTTTCCCAGCACGATTTTTGCTGTACTTTATTATTCATTTGTCTAAGAAAACCTAGAAAATATAATTATCATTAGCTAGCATCTCTGCGCATCAACTCAGTTGTAAATTAACGTCTACAAAAAAGTAGAAAAAAAACACATAATGCGGTTTACTTAGGCTGACCTTGTGGCGCAATCTTTTTCCTGTCCCACAACTATAAAAAATAAAATTCACAGCTGACAATGAGCAACCACACATAAGAGCAGCCGAAGAGGAAATAATTGAAAGAATCGAATGGCGAGCATTTCCTGCTTAGGGAATACAAAAAACAAAACTGGAATTGAGAGAAGAGTCTTCAAGGCAGATGAAAGAAGAATAGTGGGATAGAAATGTAAGATTCAAATACATATAAGTTACATTTATACATAAAATATATTCATATATATATTATATACCATTTGTAAATAGATCAGGCTTTCTGTAAATAGAGTACATAGTATATATATATTACTTCTTTTTAATTTTGCATTTCAATGCAATTTGAATGCTTCTTGTTTCTTCACTAAAACTATTTACTGGAAATAAATAATATGAATTATGATGATGTGTTCAGAACCGGAAAAGTATGTAAATCACTAAAGATTTTTCTCAAATGTCTCAAAGAAGGGAATTTCTGTTGTATAGTTTTAAAGTATTTCCTGCACATAATAAAGAACATATGTATATTACTCATACGCACTGTGTGCACTCTTAGTATTAGAGAGTGCAAAATCAAGAATTATGTGTAGTATATCTTATATTCATATGTGCATTTCCTTATGGGACTCTCCAAGATCTAAGCTGGTGCAATAATTTCCACTAATCTCGTTTTGCCAGCTGCAGCAGCAAACAACTGAGGCGCAAAACAATTTCAAGGCCATTGGCAGAGTTCATGCGAAAAGTGTGACGAAGTAAGGAAGAGAGGGGAAGGGTGGTGGCTTGTCACTGGGATGGGGTTTTCCTCTGCTGTAGTGAAGGGCATTCAACGAGTGCACTATGGAGGAAGAGCATCTCAAGCTGCTGCGATAAACCCATGCAACCCTCATCCCCTATCCCCTACCCTTTTTCCGGGCTTATTTCAATCTTGTTTCGGTTTGTAGCAAAGTGGAAGCAAAGTGCAAATGTTTAGATTTTCCACAGCAAATCAAATAAATGTGTGTTTTATCTAAATATGAGTATGGAATATACAATTTTGTACATATTGTAGGAAGATATAACCATATATATGCTGTTAGTTGCAAGTTCTTTGGATTTCTTAGTTATTTTGATAGACTCTTTAGAAAAGATTTTATATATCGTCTTGAGATGAACACTACTTAAGCTTAAGCTTAAGTAAAATATTGTAGTAAATAAATATCATTACATTTGTTAGGTCATAGCTTAACAGAATCTTTATTTAATTCATAGTTAAAATCTGCTATTTTTCCTTATCAAGTTATATTATAATAAATTTTTTAATATAAAAGTCAAATAGCAATTTCTGCTCTTTAATTTGGCTTGGTTTATCAATTCTATTTTTATTTCCGTCATTTTGAAAATAATGTGAAAAACAAAAGTGTTTTTTAGAATATTTCCAAAATAAACTATTACATTTTAATATATAGTTAGGGTTTTAAATTTATCACATTGACATAACCAAGAAAATAAAATCTAATCAAAATTTGTTTAATAATATCTAAATCTAATTTAATCAAAAGTTCTCTTGTATTTCGTTCTTATATTATTATTTCCCAATAAATTCTTGACTAATGCAAAATGTATAAAAACACACATCTTTGATTGCTGCATGTTCAATAAATAATTCATTAATTAATCAATTGTTGTGGTTTGTGGCTGCTGTTGGCTGTTTTTGGCTGCGGTGCAAAGTTGATTGAACCTAAAAATACATGAAGCTCATTTAAAATGTGTAAACAAAAGCCGCAGCAGAAAACGGATACCAGATCCAGACTTGTATATGTATAAACAATTTATCAGAAATAAATTGGTTAACAGGTAAAATAAACAAATTAAGCGCAGAGTTAAATAAATGCTGGAAATATATTTATATGTTTTGCGGTTTCTCTTTTAAGGGTTAAATTGTTTTAAGAGAGATGCAGCATTTAGCGTTAAATGCTTTATGGTTTCACAGAGGTATTAAATAGTTTAATTTGTTTTTATAAAGGGATTTCTAGATTTTTACAAGTTCTGCTGTGACCTAATTATATTTTTTAGGGTGATTTTTAGAGTTGTAGTAAATAAGTTAATTGATTTGTTTTGTATTTATTATGTTGTATTTTAATATAGAAATATCAGAATGCTTAAAGCTTAATGGTTAATGGTCAATGTTCTCCTTTCGATTTGTAAATTGATTGCAACAAATTCGAAACGATCGTGTTTAAACCTTTTTTGTGTTGTGGGTATATACATATAAAATAAAATTGCACTTTTTATTGTATATTATATACATATATAACTTTCTTGAGAGCAGGCATTTATTATACCAGTTGTTCTTGTATTTGCTTCATTAATGTTATTGCTTTTGTGCTTTATCAAAGCCATTCTTTAAATTTTCGACAGTCTTTATTAACACGCTACAAAAAATAAAAAAATAAAGATTCGCTTAAAAAATCGCTGGAAGAGATTGGGATGCCGGGAGTTTTTTCTTTCTTCTTTTAATTTATTTTATTT